TGACATTGACTGCAATTCTCCACAGTGTAACTGCTCTCTTCCCACTTCCTCCCCATAGTTAACTCTTCCCTGTGTCCTTCTTTTCTATGTCCTCCTGTCCCCTGAGCTGTCTCCCTGTGCAAACACTGCCCTTCTGTTCAACCGGGATTGATGGCTCTAAGGAGTGTATCTACCTGGTGTGAATGTTCACCCCATGTGCCTGTCTGTTGTTCGGCTGGAAGCCACAAGAGTGAGTTCAATTCCAGGCCCAAAGGGTGACTAGGGACCACAGTTTTGGGGGTTTCATCATGCTCTATGAGACCAGTAAGCTTTCACCAGTAATTAGCAAATGCATTCTGATTGCATATTTGGTTGATTGCAGAATTTGGCAAAAAAAGTCTTCAATTTCTTTACCTTTGATAGATTTGGTAGGGGGTACACAACTTTGTTGTTTTTTTAGCTTTTTAGTGTGATTTGGGGAGCTCTGGTGGCGTGGTGCCTAAGGCATTTGACTGCTAACCAGAAGGCTGGAGGTTCAAACCCAGCGGCCACTCCTCAGAAGGAAGATTTGGGTGAAATTGAACAAAGCAGATTAGTTTTACGTTCAACAGTTTATGCACACTTTGTTCTGTGACGCTGGCTACGTTCCCCACAGGGTAATAGCTCTCCTCCCCCCTCCTCCATTGGGGCGTCAGTTTGAATAATAGCTGTACTAACTGGATTCCCTTGTGGACGTGTGGCTATTATACCATCACTGACAGCACTGTACTTCGGGGAACATTTTGCAGTGTCCTCTGTGATGGTCAGTGCGGTGCAATTCCTCTTCGGAGTGTCACTCTCAGCATTGAACATATGTCTGATTCAAAATGGCCAATACCAGTCTGTTTCAGCTCACTTAGCCTAGGCTATCCTCTTTATGTGTTTCTTTCATTTTTGATGACTTCCAATTTTACTAGTGCAAAAAGGACGTGGGGGTGGCATCTTCTGACCTCCTCTAACTTCCCAAGAGGAAGACAGAATCACCATCAGCAGCCCAAGGCTGATTCCTATGAGGCCCGATGTACTGCCACCCTCCAGCCTTTTACCAACTCTGACACCAGCCGTCCCTCCCACGGCACTCACTACTTCTCTGCTGGGTTCGATAATTCATTGCAGTGGCCACACAGAACTCACAGACAATCCTCACGATGATGGAATTTATTAGGGAAGTAACAGGCTACAATTCAGGTTCAGGAACACGCTCAGGACACAGTTCTTCAATCAGGACAGTCTCTCCTCTGCTGTCCCCTCAGACATGCCTCTTTCTGGCCCTCGGCCTCTCAGCCTGGCCTCTGCCCTGCTCAGGCAAGTGTTACAAAGCTCTTTTAGCTCTGCTGAGGGTCACCTAGGTGCATCCCACTCTGCCAGCATAGCCTTCTGCCCAAAGACACTCAGCTTTCTCACTCTGTGGGCCTGCAAGCCTGTCACTCTGTCTCATGCCTCTTGGTTCCTCTGCCAGTCGTCGGCCAAGGAGGTTCAGTGCAGGGATCTCTGGTCCAAGGATGCACTCCACTTCACCTCCAGCGCTTCTCTCTTGATGGCAGTGAGATTCGCCCCTTCTCCCTCTAGGAGGGCTCATTTGAAGCCCAGCAGAGTGACAAAACCAATGCCCACATTAGGGTTCCATATACCTTATTTGCATGGTCCCACCCTCACTACCCCATTTTACTTGGTTCTACAGTCAACACCAGTGGAAGCAGCAGTCAAGAGATCAGACACCATGTTGCACTGGGCAAATCTGCTACAAAAGACCTCTTTAAAGTGTTGAAGAGCAAAGAGGTCACTTTGAAGACTAAGGTGTGCCTGACCCAAGCCATGGTATTTCCAGTCACCCCATATGCATGTGAGAGCTGGACAATGAATAAGGAAGACCGAAGAAGTGATGTTTTGAGTTGTGGTGCTGACAAAGAATGCTGAAAGTCCCATGGACGCCAGAAGAACTAACAGATCTGTCCTGGAAGAAGTGCAGCAAGAATGCTTCTTGGAAGCGAGAATGGCCAGACTTTGTCTCACCTACTTCAGTCATGTCAGAAGGGACCATTCCCTGGAAAAGGACATTGTGCTTAGCGAAGTGGAGGGTCAACAGAAAAGGGGAAGGCCCTCAAGGAAATGGATCAACATGGTGGCTGCAACGATGGGCTCAGGTGTAGCAAGGATCGTGAGGCTGGCACAGGACCGGGCAGTGTTTCTTTCTGTTGTACATGGGGTCACTATGAGTTGGGCCGACTCAACGGCACCTAACAACAACCACAACAACCCCCACAAGGGTGCCAGGCACCTTATTTACGTTACTCACAAGCTATCCCATCTTCCAGGATCTCTGGTAGCATAGTGCCTAAGGCACTTGACTGCTAACCAGAAGGCTGGCAGTTCAAACCCACTAGCCACTCCTTGGAAGGAAGGTTGGGCAATCTACTTCCATAGTGATACTGCCTCGACAACCCAAGGAGGGGTCGCTATGAGTCGAGTACGACTCGAGGGCACGTAACAACAACAACAACATCCCATCTCCTAATGGCCCAGAGCACCTCACCTTTGCATAGACCCACCTAGTGGTGGGCGTCACAAAGCCCACAGCTAGAAGAGCCATCTGTCAGGTACCTCACTGCACTACACCTAGACTTATACTCTGTACACTCCACGTTCCAATTAGTGATGGATGTTTGCAGCTATTTCTTCCCGTTTTGAGTTCCACCCCATCAGCAAATGGAAGTCCCGAAAGCTTTACTCCATTGTGATAGTTGGAGCTGTGTGTCAACTTGGCTGGACCACAATCCTGTGTGGTTTAAGCTGTTGTGATGTAGTTATTCCCGTGATGGGATCAGGTGTATATGTTTTGAGCAGCCAATCTGTTGAAAGGGAGTTTCCCTAGGGGTGTGGCCTGCTTCCAATGTATTTATGGACATGCTGGGAAAAGAGACACTCTTCTGTGGATCGGGATTCTGTTGTGCTGCCTACAACTGTCCACCATTCGGCCTGGAGATCTTGGATCCATCATTCATTGGAGTCAACAGCCCGTATTCTGCCTGCCAACCTTGAGCTTGTCAGCCCCTGCAGCTGCATAAGTCAGGAAAAGCCTCTAGCTTGACGTTTGATCCAAGAACTTGGGACTTGCCAACTTCTATGAGTGTGTGAGCCATTTTCCTAAGATACATTTCTCTTTCTCTGTATGCATACATAAGCTTTACTGGTTTCACTTCTCTAGAGAATCCAACCTATCACATCCATCTGTCACTAAGGTCGGCTCTGCTCCGAGGAGGCAGCACTTCTCCGGTTGTATTTTGAGCGCCTTCTTCCGGTACTATGTCGGACAGTGTTTCAGGGCTCTTCATAAGGTTTCCCAGTAACATATCAGACAGTGTTTCTCTGCTATTCATAGGGTTTTCACTGGCCAGTTCTTTGAGAAGGGGATGGCCCCTTCCTTCTTCCAAGTCTGTCTCAGTCTTGAAGCTCTGCTGAAGCCTGTCCACCATGGGTCACCCTGTGGTATTTGATGTACCTCTGGCATAGCCTCCAGCCTCACAGTGACACTCAGGCCAGCACAGTGTGACATTCGGACAAAAGAGGGAGGAGGCGTGTGCGTGGACGTATGACCAGTCACTCTGGGGCCAATGTGGCGGCCCGCCCCCTGGTGTGTCAGAGCAGGGCTGTGCCCCATGGGGGTTTCAGTGGCTGGTGTGTCAGACTTGTTCACGAGGCTGAGGGATCATGCGTCCCCTCGTGGCCCTGCTCATGGACCATGTGTCATCCATCTGTCCTTTCCAGTGGTACACACCTGCCGCCTGCCTGCAGCTCAAGGAGCACTTTCATGGGCAGGTTAGTGCAGCCTGTGAGCGTGGAGACACAGGGACAGTCGGGTGAGTGCCAGACGGGGCGGGCGCAGGGCCCCGGGAAGGCGGGGTGCAGGGCCCGGGGAAGCGGGGTGCAGGGTGAATGCCAGCCTGGGGTGGGGGGCTCAGGGGAGCCCACTGTTAGAGTGAGTGGTGGGAGTGACACAGCAAAGGGCTCCCCAACACCGACGAGACCCTGCATCCGGTACAGGCCTGACCGGGGTCAGGTGCCCTCTGCCTTCCTGGACACTGCCCTGCCGTGTGGAACTGGCGCCTTGCTGTCTCGGCTTCAGCACACACTCCCTGTCCGCACGTCCCTCCTCTGACCCTCGGCCCCCTCCCCCTTCAGGTCTCAGCACAGCTGTTGCAGTGGCTCTGGGACCTTCTCTGGGCCCACATTTGCACTCTCCCCTGCGTGGGCAGGAGCCCCCCCACAATGTGTGCTTCAGTTCCCCAGCCTGAGTGCTCCCCCAGCCTGTGCTCTGGTCCCCGAGCAGTCACCTGGCAAGGGCTCTGTCCCCTGTCTGGGTGCAGCCACTCCTGTGACAAGAAGGCACAGCCTGCCCTTGTCCCTGTCCCACAGGGCTCACTGCTGTCACATAGGTGTCAGGGGAGGCCAGGCAGAGGTACCAGAGAGCCTCGGGGTGCATCACTCAGGGGTCCCCATAGCCACATGGCCAGCGTGGCACGGGTCAGGGTGAGGGCAGTGGTCCCCAAGTCTGGGTTGCTGGTTCTGAACCACATGCTGGGTGCACATATTGTCCCCCGGCCCCTCCCAACAGCACCAGGAAGGAGGGACATCAAGGCATAGAGTCCTGCCACAAGCCCTCGGAAGGACCTCTGCCCCTCCATTGGGTCAGGGTGCCCCTGGGGCAACTGGCCAGGGTAGATGCACCCCTCAGTCTGGGGCGTGGGGTCCGGGCGGACCTGGCCCCTCTGTCTGGGACACAGGGTCCAGGCGGACGCAGCCTGGCCCTCCCACACTCGCAGGCACACAGCCCACGCAGGCTCCATCCCAGGAAGCTTGGGCGCAGGGCTGTCTCGCTGACACTGGCTGTCCGCTGGTTCTTGTCCTGCATGTCCTTGCCCACAGGCCACACGGACCATGCTGGCTGGCTGTAGGCACCTCAGCCAGGCTCCAGCCCAGCTGCCCAGGGCTTGCCCACACCCATGGCTCTCGCGATTACCCCAGGCCGCCGCCCAGCCTCTGCTGTCCCCAGTGTGGTTCTCAGGACAAGGACTGCGGTCTGGCTGGGCGTCTGGCTCCCCACCCTCCTCTCTGTGGCTGGGCCAGGGTGGTCCTGCCTGGCGCCAAGAGAATGCAGGGAGGGTCTGAAGACCTGTCCCACCCCTGCCACGCGCCACAAGGTGTTTCTTACAGGCTCAGACTCTCCAAGGTGGTGGTCGTGGGGGACCTGTATGTTGGGAAGACCAGCCTGATCCACAGGTA